CCAACAAATCCACACCCACGCGATAGACGGTATGTGTTACATCATGTCTGTGTAATAAACGAGACAGGTGTAATCGGGTTCGAAGAATGTTTTACGTTTAATGCCAAGCCCGAATTGATTGAAGTGCCTAATAATGACGTAAATTTTAACAAAGAAAGACATTTTGCGGATCAGATACGAACGTATTCGGTACAAGAATTTTTTCGAACATTGTTTTGAAACTACTTTCAAAATTTGCTAAAACCACAAGAGTCTGGTATCAGAACATCAGAAAAGCTAAAAAAAGACTTTTCGTCCAGATAAAGTCGACGAGAGCTTTCTCGAAATTGCACCAGTGGCGGATCCGCCTGAATTCAATCCGTTTTAGGACTATGAGAATTTGCACGTATGCTCATCAACAAAATTCTTTGAGGTGTCGTCACTTCGTTGACATGACGACCTTGAAATAAACTGAGACATTGCAACACCAGTCACCAGGGTTTAATTAGAATTTAATTATTGAAACCACGCGAGCGCATAAAATTTTTTTTTTCCCAAAATATTTACCCATATCTAAGTCGAAAAACTGAATATAAAAAGCTACCTATATTACCGGTGACTGGTCAATGTCTTCTTCTAAGGATACGATACATACAGAATCAATTCCTGGATCGAAAATATTTACCGAGGCGCGGTCATCTATGGCAAATGCTAGGCCAAACACCCATCCACTGACAGAAAAGTATGGTGCAACTCAACAGACAAAATGATGTAACCCTGTGAAAGTGAAACAGCTGACTAACGAACGAGACGAGAGTTGATTGCTGGACAACACCAACCCTTTTCGTAAATAAGTGATGTCACAGCAAGATGGGTAACTTGACAAATAACGTTTAGACTTCGAAATTAAACAAAATTAATAGCAATTTCCAATAGAGTTGTGAGTCGGGTCAGCTTGCACTACGAATTTAAACATTTATTCTTAATTTCTTGTAAATAAATTTATTTTGCGCTCTTGTATTGAAGACCCGAAAGACTTAAATTCGAACCCATTGTTCACATAAGTGTTTCTCAACCTATGAGTCGCGACCCAAAACGGGATTGCCCAATAAATTTTCCTGTGTCGATTGCTTTTTTCAATGAAAAACCTAAAAGTTTATTAATTTAACTAATTCCATTTTAGAGTAAATCTTATTGTTTCTTTTATATTTGGTATTGAAGTGTTGCTCAATAGTGTGGGAAGTGTCTCACATGTGTGGGAAGTACCACTGCGTAAAAACCTGGCAGCATTTATTTTTCTTAAGTAAAGCCAAAAACTCGCTGATGGCATATCACTATAAAGTAATTTATAGGGAAATAAATGCTATATAAAATTGATTATTTTATGTTATTCATTTAATTTTTGTCATAAAAGTACCACACGTCTAGTATTTGAGCATATCCTTTGGTCACGATATTTTACAAAATCTATTTTTTTCAATTTGTGTCGCTTGAAAAAAAGTTTGGGAACCACCGGTGTATATGATATCCCAATACCCTCTTCGACAAGAAATAACGGTTAGGATAATATTCATTCAATTCCTCTCCTAATCAACGCTTGATAAACTTTAATATAAATTTTCCATCTCACGCTATTTATTAAATTCAATTAATCGACTGGGCCGACATAAGTGACTAGCAATGTGAAAGATAATTTTATGAAAAATCCAACTAAAAGACACTCAGCAAAAGTGTAAAACTTTATGCAGGGTTGACGCAAAAGTAGGTTAAGCGCTATTAAATTAATTATTTATTATGTACCATTAGCTTACGTTTGGGTCGCCATGTATTTTGTTTCAGATATAAATTTTCTTATTTTCTTATTTTTATTAGATATCACACCTTCGTTGACCACACTAACTGTGTAGGTTTCGCCGCCTTGGACAAACTTCCAGAACGAATTTAGTAACCTTATTTACAATGGGAATGATTGAGCAACCCGCAATTCTATGATGGATCCCTTTGTGAAGATATATATAATATCACAACCCAAAAATAGTTAAAGCTATTTATCGCTAAGAACATTTTCCCTGTCAGATCTTGTGGGTCATCAACCAATGTCTTTTAGAACAACGGACTGGCGCAGATTTTGTGGCGCTTCTGAAGTCTGTGTACTAGTACCAATATGGAGGTAACTTATTTTGTTCACCTACTTTACAACAAGTTGTGTGAAGGGTCGGAAGCCTATGGGCAGGGGGTATATTCACTTGGCTAACACAAACTCATAATAAAACTAAAATAAGGAAAATAGGAATAAAATTATGACCTAACCCTAACCTGGTACACGAGAGTGCCGATTTTGTACAGTGACATGCGTGAAATATATTTCAAATATGCTTTGATAAAAGACACGATCGGAGACAGGGTGACACGAAAAAGAGCAAAAAATTTAACCTAAAGTGAAGTAGAGGTCCACACTGTTGTAGGTTAGTTGTTGTTCGCGTGAGGAGGCTTGCAAGAACGCCATCTACCGATAGACTATGATTTATAAAATAAAATCCCTTCGAACCCCTCAGTATGGTCGAATTGATTCTTGCAACAGTAATTGTGGAGTTGGAAGATACCGATCCACTAACAAACGGCACAGATAAATGAGCACGCTAAACCTCAGCTTTGACAATATGGTAATTTTGAAAATTACATTAGTTTTAATAGTTCATCATTAGGTCACAGATAAATGGTTGAATAGATTACAAATTAGTGCGCTCGATTTCTCTTACCGCTACGATGATTCTTTTCAGATTAGAATGAATCACTCATGCCCAGAGCATTCATAGCGGTTTTCGGCAAATAGTGAGGCTGTGTTCTCTGATACCACGACAGTGGCAGAAATAAACCAAGTCACACATTGTTAAAAAATACACCAATTTTAATATTATTTTAGGGTAATTAATAGGAATGAGAGCGTCAGTGTAACAAATTATACTTATTTACAAATATACACGGTGAGAGTTGTAAAAAAAGTACTAAAAATCGAGTTTTACCTTTTAATAAGTGTATAAGATGCGGTGATTTGTCAAGCTGAGCATTTTTTATTTGTTTATAAAATTCGTCAAATAAGCATCTTCCATCAGAAGACAACAAACGTTTACATCATAAATTTGGTAGGAGTTACAAAGAGGTAGGAGTTTGGTAGGAGTCATATTTAAGTGGGGCAATTTATCAATATTTGGAACCGTTGACCCACTGTTTTATGTTCGTTGAGCCCCAAATTCTGAATAATTGATTTAATTTTGACTAGGATCCTTTTGCAGGAGTTGTATTGAAATATAAACCTACATACATTTGTGATACTAACTCTTTTCGGCATTTATTTTGCCGTCACATACCGAATAGATCAAAAACCCAGTCCAATACTATTATGACACTTGGAACGTTAATTTAATTTAGTCGAAATGAAATCTAAAATATGGGCTTTCCGAAAAAAATATATAACCAAGATTTCCGATAATCGAAATTATTATTTATTCTAAAAATACGACATTTTCACAGCTATTTTACTTATAAACTTAAGCTCCGTAAAAGTTGGATAGAGCTGAACGCTTTTACCTTTCACAGGCTTAAAATGGATTCAATGCAAAGAATCTAAGGCCAATACCGACAATAGAAATAATCGTATCCTCAAATACAGACGCCAATTCAAACGAGAGAAATAAAGTAGAAAATACGAAATTTGAGAACCGAAGATGAACAACGCCACTCATCGGATTAGCGTTATCATTATTAGCCAACGGGATGGCCGTTAGCACCATAACAATCTCGGGGAGTTGGAATCGCAGGAATTAAAAGTAAAAAATTACTAGTCTTTCGATCTTGAGACGAGATTAGGCATGAAATTGAAAAGAGAAAAAATACGAGAAAAACGTCAAATCCAATTTGCCGTTACTATCTAGTCGTAATATCTACGCAGACAAAAATAGTCATGCGAAAATTGATTCGTGCTAGTGAAACACGAAACAGGTTATATGTACGGCCAACTGTCAAAATGAATTTAAACAAAACAACAAGATAACGAGAGAATTATTTCTAGGAAAAGAGTAGTATTTTTTACCAGCTTTATTCAAAAACTTTAATAAAGAAGATAATATAGGAGATATATCGATTCGCCTGAGGCAAGAATTAAGCTACGAAATAGATCTCGGCATTTGCATTTACTGGTACTATTATAAAAGAGCACAGTATTTACTGATATTTACGGGTAATCGCTGTCTTGAACAGCGTAGAATTTTAATCGATCAAATATGGTCGACTTTTGAATAGCGATCACACACTTTGTGCAAAACTATTCGTAAATAAAACGTTGAAAATATTTAGATCATATGACGTATTTACAATATAAAAATAAACAGTTTTGTCGGTTTTTAAAAAAAATCTCGACTACATTTATAACCTTTAACGCATCGTTTAAACAGCTGGCCGATTTTAGAATTTTTTTTAAAAAAAATATTCAGCGAAATTTGTGGCAACAATTATGAAGTTTTTGGTTTTCACTCTATGCAAAACAGATGACACAGGTCGTGATTATAATGATATATTGAATTGAATATACCGTACTATTTACATAAGCGAATACTAAGTAATCTGTAATACGATCTTCTGTAACAATTTTAAATAATAAAAAAATAAATGAAATAAAAATAAAATGAAAAAATTTAAACACGCGGCTTACGAAAAAATAATACTAAACATAGAAATTCAGTCAGAGTTGTAAGTCGGGTCAGTTTTTTTGGATTTTGATCAGTTTTGAGTGTAAATTGAACTTGCAGTCATTTCTCCATCTCTGAGACACATATATAGTCGACTACAGTAAACGCTATTTAATTTCTAAAAAAAGGAACCCAACAAAAAACAAACGCTTTCAATACTCCATTGGAGATGACAATTTCATATTAAACGATATTCAAAAATTATGGCTTCAATGCACTATTCAACTATTACTTGGTACAAAGTCAAATGCAACCTTAAAATATTAACGTAAATACCTTTTTCTTTTCCGACCTCTGAAGATACAAGATGAATAGCGGTGGACGCCACCTTGCGGATGTCAACTTCTTCGTCACACAGTAGGGTGAATACGACAATCCAAGCATCGACGCTTTTGAAACCTGAATCAGAGATGATATAATGAAAATTAAATTTTAGTTAAATAGCTAACTTGGACAGACTATATGTTGTGAGAGTGGGCTTTATACACACATGGTGTTCATAGAGACCCGTTACAATTTCAATTTTTTGGTATGAAGTCGGTTTTCTCAATCTATCTCAACCAGGATTGTTTTATTTTATCTAGTATTTGAGTTTTTAGCATAGAATAGAATTTACATATTTATCCCGGAGGAGAGGAAAGCCGTTAATACGGCTTAATCACATGGTGAATCACGGCCTCTTGTCCGGTTACCAGTCCGTGTCGGGTATGGGATTAGTTAGTCAGTTATTTGTTTTAGATGCATGGACTTGATACAACACGGATACGACCTTTACGTCATTTGATATACCTGTTTGGGCCAACAAACTATGTATGGTATCAAAAATTAAGACAATATCAACACCCTGAATGATAAATAAGTGCAATACAAAAAATAACCACGTATTCAAACGGAGGCGCAGTTCTTACCACTTCATGGCAGCTTCTGTCACGAACGAACCGCGCAGCTCTTGCCATGGTTTTATAGCGCTATTCAGTATTCAGTATTACAGGTATATTCACAAATGAATGTACCCGATTTCAATTGATAATGCGGAATTATATCTACTCAAACCCTAACCCTAACCCCAAGTCCATCAAAACTGTATCCATAAGAAAGACGTTCCAACTTACCCACCCAATATTTATCACCATAAGGGACAGCCCTGTCTTTACGGCCCACCTGCCGTGGTTACGGCAGCAAAATTTTACCTGCCATTGGTTTTCAATTTGCTGCCGCGGTAACGGCAGCTCGTCATTGGTTTGTGGCAGCTAAAAAGTCAGTCGCCATAGGTTTGGCCGTAGCGGCCATGGTATGGAAATACCGCCATGGTTTTGCGGCAGCTGCAGACGCCACAGAATACATAAAACTGCACTTGTTCAAAAGGTTGGGTGAAAAAAATCACTTAAGTTTTTGCTAAAACATAGATGGCCAGTGGATCGACTACGACTCGAGTGCTTTGTTTCACAATGCCGACACTGTTGGTGCATAGAAAACTTTGAGGTACCATATTCAAAAATTTAGCCAGGCATTCCAGTCACGAGTCATGATTCATTTATCCTGCCTTTGTTTATGCTTCGAAATAAAAAAGTAGGATTCTATAAGATACTGTACCACGCGCCCACTTATGAAACAATAATCAAGGCAATGCATTGTACTTGATCTATGTTACGCATTGTAAAAACATAAATCAGACCGGAAAATCCTGTATGTGAAACTGTAAAAATTGGTACGCTTGATATCTTATCTTATCAAAGCATAAACAATAGTAATGTTTATTTAATAAATAAATCATCATAAAATTACAAATTGCATTTTCAATACATCCTGGTATAGAATGACACTACCAGGTACCAAAAAGAAAAAAAAATGAGATGATATCAGAAATAGATGAGTAAAAGATTTACTAGTTCGTCTTTCTATAATTAATATGTTGAGTAGCATCATTATCCTTCAGGTAACGAAGTGGTACCAGCACCAAAATCATAAACCATATGACAAATGAGGAAAAGTATCCAAAGAACACAGATTTATTTTTCTTGAGCATTTTTTTTTCTTTTGTAATATTTTCCCAGTATTATATAAGAAAATAATTACTCGGAAAAAAAGAACTCGTTTGTCCTAACATGGTTAATATACAATTTTGGGTACTCCCGTAGTATGTGTACCAGGTTAAGGATATGCCATAATTTTATTCCGATTTCCTTATTTTAGTTCTATTACGAGTTCGGGGTGTCTGTTTTAGCCACGTGAATATACCCTCTGCCCATAGGTTTCAGTCCCTTTACACAACTTGATGTAAAGTAGGCGTCCAAACTTAGTTACCTCCATATTGGTACACATACTGGAGCGCCCAATTTTGTATTACAGAACATACTCGATTCGAAGATAAAAAATAATTGGCTGATTTGGTTTTATAGCTTTAGACATACAAGTGGCACAAAGTGGTATACAAATATATATTTTTGTATTTTCATTCTGGATGGTATGTACGAGTTCGTGCTGGGTTCAAATCACAAAATTGTGTCAGAATTACTTTCAATTCAAGTTTCAACCATGCGTACGATTCGGCGTATATCATATACATTCCTCTATTCAAAAAAACAAGTGTTTTCGAATTTACAACACAGGAACCACTAATTTATTTGTCATATAAACATAATTGCTTTTAAATATGGATGTTGTTAAACTCCCTTAGAAAAATCATTTAAGTGCCTTGTTGCATATAATAACGCAATTTTCATAGAATACCTGAACTTTAAAATATCTATCTATACATTTACATGGCCGTGTCTGACGGAGAAAACGGAATTTTGACACATGAGTAACAAACAACCTTTTAAAGAAATGTTAAAGTTAAAATTTCTTTTTGTCTGTTAGGGTGAATCACTCTCATGGGATTTCTTCCTTTGGCCGCAAATTTGTATTAATACATAATATTATAACCTTTTATACAGGTTGGTGTAAGATAACACTGGCATGAACTTGGGTATAAAGAAGCCTTCAAGGTCATTGCCAAATCGAGTGATTCATACTATAAACAAGCTTAGAATTTTAACTTGCCTTTGGTTACGGTTACGTAATGCAAAAATTTTCACTCGTTAATCACCGACCATATAGATTTAATCTAAGTATACTTGGGGCGGGATGTATACTATGCTCGCTATAAAGTAAGAATGCCAAAATAGAATATATACTGTATTGAACATATTTTACCCTGGAAATTTATTATTCAATGATTCATATAATCAAAAATTTTCGGGTCTTGTTAAATTGATCTTTTTCGTAAAAATAGACGATTTCTGCTCAATTCTACATTTCTTTAATATTTTAAATCGGGGTTGCGCTATTCGAGTTGGTTCTGGGAAAAATGCTCCCAATAGTTTCGAACTTGGTCGGATTGATCTTCGGATTGATCGTGCCTTTATTCACATCTCAAGGAACCTATTAGAACTATCATCACACTTGAATCAATAAACAGAAAAGGGTACGCCAAGGGAAACACCATGGAAATTTCATCATAACTTGGGCTCCATTTGGGCGATTCCATCTATTTAAATGTCTAAATAGAAATAAGTCCAGTGTACTACAATGGAAAATTATTTTCCAATCACACTAATTCGTAAACAAACATATACAATGAAACAATAAAACTCAGCTCAGTATTAAATCGCCAACAGAGAAACAGTGGGTTGACCAACAGTGTTGGAATTACAGGCAAAATACCTGTAAACAGCAAGAATTTTTATACGCTACCTGATCTACTTTCAAAAAATAATAACAAGGATTACAAACGGTAAATAGGATAAACATATTCGGGTCGCGGTACTATATATACTAGTATTGCCCTATCACCAATACTTTGATATGTTTTCTTTAATTCAGTAAAATTTAGGTCAGATTGGACAGAGGTGTGCAACAGGCGGCCCGCGGGCCACCAAGCCATTTAGTGTGGCCCTTGTCAGCACTCACATACTCCCCCATAAGTATAAATTTAACTATTGTCAAAGCTGATATTAACAAACTATGCAAGAACTCAAAATTTCAAGTGTCCAATTAATGTTAAAAAATAAAATTTTGTATTGTGATAATTTTTTCAATTCGTTGTGTACATGAGAAAAAAACTTGTTTTGTGTGGGGCCCGGCTAAAAGTTGACCCACCAAGAAAAATGTTACACACCCCTGGGTTAGATTACCCTAATCTAACTTACCTGATCTAACAGAATTAAAAAAAAATCAGATCAGAAAATTAGTGGCGAGTAATAATGTAAAAACACTCAGGATGAGTATAAAGCTGTTTCTGCCCAGAGCCTGATTATGAGCGAGCGTGAGCAGGGCATCGTGATCAGCATTCATATTAACAAGATAACAACAACTCTGAGAAATACCTATAGTATGGCATCAACTAACTTAAGCCTTTTCCTGAAGGCATTTTGTGGTCCGTGGGTAATTATTAATCGGTTGATTGTTTATGTGCAAAATATATACCGTGTACTAATATGAAAATCGTTATTAATACATAAGAACATAATCTTACACATCGTGGGATGGCTAATCTAACATAAGAAATAACCACGAATCGAGTTTTGGTGGTGAATCACACTGCCTGAAGGGACTTTATCGTTCTCATCGAAGTATCGCTAAATGAAAGTAAAAATTGAATCAGCATTGGTGAAAATATGCGTATGATGTAAGAAATTACTGGAATTTTCCAGTTAGTAATATAGGAATGGATATACGGTCCCAAATGCCATTTGAATGGCATTCAGACAGCGGAACATTCGATTTTTGCGACAGACAACGTGTGTACTGAAATCGAGTACTATGATTATATATGTCTTAATAATTCCGACAGTAACGTTTACGAAGTTAACTAACTGGTTATATACAAAACAATGGGTGCTCCCGAAGTATGCGAACCAGGATGGCGGACATCGGAACGTAACATGGGTAACAGGTTATGGTTAAGCGATAAATTTTTTCCAATTTTCCTTATTTTTGTCCTATTATCAGTTCGAAGACTAGCCAAGAGCCTCCCGTAGTATTTATAGCTAAAATTATGGCCTAACCCTAACCTAGTACACATATTACATTCCGATGTCCGCCATCTTGGTTCGCATACTTCGGGAGCCCCAAACAATGATACCATATATGAAGGTATAAAGTTTGAAGAACTATATGCATCTTTTATTATTATAGGACATAGGTATTTATAGGTATATATGACAACCAAATAGCTTTCTATGAAGGAAGTCATTCAAATGACGATGAGAATCATATACCTATCCATATTCCTCACTGTTTCATAATGGTGCTATCGTGATTGCAATATGAAATACGGGTATTTGAACGAACGAATGAATATTATCATAAATAAACAATCTTTCACATCCGTATCACTAATTGGAAATTATATTTCT